GCCGTGCAGGCACCAACCACAATTACTGTTCATTTCCAGGTACTCCAAGAAGATCTTCACAAGCCCCACGTAGGTGTTTAAAACTTTTGTTCGATTTGCAACCGAAAGCTGCTTTGGCTCTGGAGAATTCCAGCTTTTCTCCGATTGTCCCAGCAGGAATTGGTAGCCGGGCTTCTCGTTTTATTAATTCATTTTAATGTTTGTTTAATTTCTATGCTGCCCGTTTTGCCTGTCATGTGGCTCAGGGCCCAGAGACGGCTTCTCCCTGCTGCAGGTCCTGCTGCTGTTAGAGGCACAGCAGCAAAGCGCAACTCAACACAGCGGGCTGTTCTCAGTGCCAGGGGAACTGTGATGTGACACCCAAGAAAGGTTTTTTTTTTTTTTTGCCTGGGTATTTCTGCCAGGAAAATGTACAGGCAGTCCTCAACTTACAACAGTTCATTCAGTGACCGTTCAAAGTCGCAACAGCACTGGAAAAAAATAACTTATGACCGTTTTTCACACTTAACAACCGTTGCGGCATCCCCCGTGGTCACGTGATCAAAATTCAGAGGCTTGGCAACTGACTCATATTTATGACAGTCGCAGTGTCCCATGGGGGTCATGTGATCCCCTTTTGGTGACCACCTGACAAGCAAAGTCAGGCAAAAAACAGATTTGCTTAGCAACCATGTTACTAACTTAAAAACTGCAGTGATTCTCTTAACAGCTGTGGTAAGAAAGGTCGTAAAATGGGGGCAAAATCCACTTAGCAACTGTCTTGCTTAGCTATATAAATTTTGGGCTCAGTCGTGGTCATAAGTCAAGGACTGCCTATATATATATCAGCTGACAGCCTTAAGGGCTTCCAGTTTTGTTAGCTTTTAATTAAAACCACCATCAAGCCAGGTTGCACATGTCATCCTCAATTTACAAGCGGTCATTTAGCAACTGTTCCACGTTATGATGGAAACATCCCCCCCATCAAAAAAGGTACTTATAATCAAGATTTGAAGTTCCAATAGCCACCCCCACCCCACAATCACCTGAGTGCATATTGGGGGGCTCACCAACCAGCCCGCATTAAAAGCTGTTTGCAGCATCACACAACTGTGGCTTGCAGTGGAATTTTTTTGGCCAGCATTCACTTCTAGTTTCTGGCGAAAAAAAGCCCCACCCTTTGTGAACAAGACAGTTCGCGTAACGACCGCTGCATTCATTTAACAACGTGTCCCAAAATTGACACGGAGGTGCCTCAACGTAGGACTGACATGACATACGATGGGAATTCTGGGCTCTATTCCAGTTGTAAGTCAACGGCTACCTGTGTTAAACAGCATTGATTGACACCAGGTGTTTGCAACAGAATTACAGTTCAGAAGTTTGGGTTGCTGGGCTTTGACCCGGCGTATCCTGGTTTAGCACATCTTTTCCCCAGCCAGGGAATTCCGCCCCACATCTGGAAGGTTCCTGGTCCTTAGCAGGATCACTCTTAATCTGAATTTATTTCTCTCTCTCTCTGAACAGGAGAAGACCTCGACGGCCTTCCAGCCACATCGTTCAAGCCTTTATGTCCTGCTAAGCCCTCTCCCAGTTTTCTGGAACTGCCCTCAACTCAGTGGAGGCCCAGTCCGGTTCTGCCATATCCCCAGGCCTCACGGACGGGGAAAGGAAAGCGACATTTTGGTAAGGATCGTCCGGCGTGTGTCTGTGAGCAGCTGAAACCCTGGAAGACGGAACACAGTGGTAGCCAGACCCTTCAGACCCAAAGTTGTATAAGAAACCTACAGGTAGCGCTCAATTTACAATAATTGGTTTAGTGATCATTCAGAGTTACAACCACACTGAAAAACAGTGACTTACGACCATTTTTCACACTTGTGTATGTTGCAGCATCCCCAGGGTCACGTGATCAAAATTCAGACACTTGGCAACTGACTCATATTTATGACAGTGGCAATGTCCCAGGGTCACGTGATCCCCTTTTGCGACTTTATGAGAAGCCAAGTCAACGGGGAAGCCAGATTAACTTAACAACTGTGTGACTAAACAACTGCAGCGATTCACATAACTACGGCAAGGAAGGTCGTAAAATGGGGCAAAATTCACCTAATCAATGTTTCGCTTAGCAGCAGAAATTTTGGGCTCAATTGTAGTGAATTTGTTGCTGAGGCGGAAGCCGAGGGGCTGCCTGCTTGTGGCTCCTTCTCGGCAAGCCGGTCACCCTTCCCCTACCCCCCTCCCCGCCTTCTCTCTCCCAGCTCCGGACCACCAGCCGCAGGAATGCTTTGGCCTCCTGGAATGTCTACACAACAACATGCAGGTGCAGACCCAGATCGCGCAGGAGCAGCTGGCGCTGCTGCAGGACATCCGGGAGTCCATGAACCTCCTCCTCGTCAAGCAGGAACAGCAAAATGGAGAAATCCGGGGCCAGTTGGAGCAGCACCCGCCCAGGGACTCGGCCTCCTTGCCGCACCCCAGCAGCTAGCAGGAAGCGCCCGGGCCTCTGTCTTCAATGCAGGCCGTCTGCGGGCAGCTGCGGGCCTCCTGGGCAGACGCTGTCCAGCACGTGGCGGTGCCCACTATGCAAGTTTTAGTGCCATGAGACTGACGGGCAGCGGAAGCTGTGCGATGCAAATAAAGTGCTTGTTATATTTTTGCCCTGTGGATGTTTTGCTTCACCAGAAATCCGCTTTTGATCCAAAAGGCACTGACTGCTGTTGGGTTAACCAGGCGAGTGAGTTCTAGTCCCACCTTAGGCGTAAAAGGCAATTGGGTGACTTTTGGGCCAATCACCAGGAGACGGTGAGTTCTAGTCCTGCTTTAGGCATGAAAGCCAATTGGGTGACTTTGGGCCAATCATCAGGAGACGGTGAGTTCTAGTCCCGCCTTAGGCATGAAAGCCAGTTGGGTGACTTTTGGGCCAGTCACCAGGAGACGGCGAATTCTAGTCCCGCTTTAGGCATGAAAGCCAATTGGGTGACTTTGGGCCAATCGCCAGGAGATGGCGAGTTCTAGTC